TTCTACCTGAAAGACACTACAGTGGTCCGGTAGCCTAAATCTAAGCTTGACGGAGAGCTCTTTACAGAAAACTCCCCTTCTTAGCTCCATCGATCCATCCGTGAAAAAAGTCACTGCGTTTCTTCTTCAGCGACTTCTCCCCCAACCACATATCCCTTGTCGGTATATGAGCAGAGAAAAAGTCACCACGAGCAGCCTCTGCGACTTAGTGATCCAAGTTTTCATGGATGCAGTTGAAGGAATTGAAAATTTTGGCGCGTCTATATACTCAGCTTCCTAAAGAGCACTTCGCAGCAATGCCCTTGCCGGTAATGTCCACAGGTGTAAAATGGCATTAAGTGCTATTCTTGGTGTGATCCGCCACACAGCGGAAATGCCGATAAAAGCGGCTCTTTGGATACGTTCAACTTCTTAGCGATTGTAACCTTTGATGAGAGTCCCCACCTTTTCCCTGTAGCTTCTCTACAGCAATATGAGTTAACCGCTGCTTTTTTTACTCTTTTTTTAATAATTGGTCTTCATGAAAACTGTCTGAAAAAAGTAGGATTGAATTTGAGCCTTCTCTAACATAAAAATTCGTAGATGTGACCAAGTATGCATTTCCAAGAGTAATTCGCATAAAAGGCCATATTATTAACATTAAAACCTTTGCAAAATACCAAATTTGTTCCAGTTTAAAACCATAAATATTTTCCGCTCGTTAAACTCTCACAAGGGCAAAAACCGAAGTTTATTCCGTTTGATATTGGAGCAACGATACTTTTACACTAAGAATTAATGAACAAGACGCTGAAGTCAGGTATACGAATCACTCTAAAAATTAACTATTTACATAGTTGAGCTCGCGAATGCTTCACGTATTCTCAGTCGCATTAGTTAAGAGAACATGCGCAATCTGACCTTTGAAATTTCTCCTTTGTTCGACAATACTCTAGAACTTTGTAGGAACAGTTATATTTCAGAGGGACACAGACAGTCTAGCGTCTTAACTGTAAAAATATAGCAGAGCTGCTAAAAAGCCTAAATCTGGGCCTCGACATTTATAGTCGAAACGACTGAACGCGAAATACGATCACGATTCTAGCCGTATAAGCTACAGTTTTTTTTCATAGCAAACTTTTTTCTCTCTAGCATTCATAGTTGAAAGCATATCGAGATTTCGTGCTTTCGTAATTTTATTATAGGGTTATAGAATATTACAATAGTTGTTACACAATTTCGCAAGCATAAAAAAAAATCGGCTTTTTAGCGCCTATTGCCACTCTCGCTTTTTATCTTTTCCAAAAAACTGTTTACAACCCGTTGAAGATCCCTCTAAATATGCACATAACTGTATGTTTGTATATTCGACTCGTCACATCACTGCTAGCCTACAAATGTGTAAACAAAGCGTAAACGTGTAGGAATTGTAAATATTTGCATACAGTTTTCTGTTTGTGTTGTTTGTTTGATTTTACTTTTCTTTCTTTTTCAACATTTCAATGAATGAATGAACTCATCGCGGCATTGTTTGGTTAGTAGCAGAACGCCTGCAACTCAAGCCCGGCTAAGTGAAGTCAAGTCGACACAAACAAGCCAAACACCCTCATACACGTACATTCATATATATACCATATACAAACAGGCTTATACATACATATAAGTGCAGGAAGTTTACGCTGATGCCAATTCGCTCGCTCACGCATACCTACATACAAGTACAAACTTGCTCAATCATGCACCGCCAAGCTTTGCAATCTCATAGTCGGCCATTCTTGACACTCTGCAGGAAGCTGTCGCACACAATTGCACACATACCATCCATAGTACCGTTATTGCTGTGCCTCATAATTACATACACACATACTTACATATGTTTGTAAGTATATGCAACGAACTTTCTTCGTTAAATTTCATCGTCAAACGCGTTGATTGTAGCGTGAATGTTCTCACGCTTTTGGCGCATGTGTTTGTGTGTGTGAGTGCGCTGACTCTGCTCGTGGTGATTTCTGCTCATCTGTGATTACAGATCGGTATCTCAAAAAATGAGGGAAGAGTTTAGGTTATACAGACATACAGACGGACATGGTTAAATTGACTAAGCGTCATGCTGATCATTTATATATAATATATATATACATTTTATAGTCTATATGATATAAAAAGTAAAATTTGTTAAGAGAAGAGTGGTGTAAAGCTTTTCTATCTTATATGCCGCACAAGATATCTCTCCTCTTTTCGTTTTCGTTTTTCTTAAGTTAAATACTTAGTGCTCTGCAACTCTGCTCGGCTATTGTGATCCCTAATTTGTATCATAACCAGTTTTCTCACTCGATGCAAAAATTCGATCGAGCAAAATTTAATAGACTTTAGATGCGTACCGTGTAGTGGATTCGGCAGTATTAGTCGCGATCCCGACAAAAATTAATGTAGTTGTTCAAAGAGATTATATGAACGATGCACAATCGACTGACCTCGGATTCTTCAATTGGTAACCGAAAAAATCAGTTTTTTATCTTCGAATACTGTTAAGTACTATACATATGTATATAGCAGTTCCGTAGCTATCAGCGTTTATAAAGTTTACGCTCGAGGCCCGTATCGAAATTCTGCCAATTCTTGAGCTTTATGCTTAATAGCTTTCGAACAATGTAAACGCATTTAGGGTGGCGAAAGTAAGGTATAAAGTCAACCAAAAATTTTCAAAACTTTGTGTTAGGTATATTGGGGCTACTTCCTGTATTGATCCGATTTTATAAATTTTTGACACAAACCATATAATTATCAGTTATGGTATCTATCTGAATTTTAAAAATATATCCCACAGATTGACCGATACTTTCGGTAAAAAGTCAGCAATATGCACATATCGATATTTGGGGGTTTGAAGAGTTATAGTCCGATTTAAACAAATTTTAGAAATGAGATGAGATATCTTAAGTGCACTAATTATACAAGGTTATGTTTCACTAACTTTATCCGTTCCCTATTTATATAGTCTAAAGTGATATATGGAAAGTAGGCTTGGTTGTTTTCCGATTTCGCCCATTTTCACAGTATAACATGCAAATGTAAGTATAACATTATCCACCAAATTTAGTTGAAATGGATCGAGTAGTTCGAGAGGTATAGAATTTTACCTAAGAGTGGCCGGTGCATGCCCGTTGCCCAATTTTTACACCGATTCCTAAATTTTATGATTTTTAGGAATTTAGTTAGTGAGTGTACATTTAACTGTTTTATATTTCTTCAATTATCGGCATTTTGTGGGCGTGGTAATGATCTGTTTTTGACCATCTTCAAAACCAAACATTCAGATAATGCCAAGGAACAAGTGTACCATGCTTCATTAATATATGTTAATTTTTACTACAGACGGTCGGATGGACAGTCAAACAACTGGAATCCAAGACATCTAGTTATCCTGTTCCAATTGGTAGATATATATGTCTATTGTTTATAGATTTTGCAAGATATGGAGAAGTATAGAAGCGTTGTGAGCGCTCCATTCACCTAAGTATGTCATATACACATGACAATATGTACTCTACCGTACTACTACGCTCTTACTAACGGAAGCGCATATGATCGAATAGGTCACCCGACCAAGTGAACTGGTACGCCGGTTTTGTTTTTGCATATACATTTATTACTCAACCACTGCTGCAGCCTGTGGATTAAAGCAAACTCAACAAAAAATACACGTTAATTGCTCAGATCACATAAGCCGTCATATTTGCTTATGTATTTGCTAAAATACGTCTCACATTATTTTGACGTTTCAAATTAAATAGTTTACTGCTGTTCCTGCTGTTACCAATGGCGCTGGTGGCTTTTATTACTTTGCCACTTTCAATGAAATACAATTGAATTTTGTATATAATATGGTGCCAGGGCTTTTAATTATACTTGGTATATATATTAACACAGGGTTATGTGTTATGTATTGTACTTTTGAAATTTAACGGTGATTTAATACATATGGAATTGTTATATAATTTCTTTTTGATTATTATTCATTGGCTAATCTAGGTATGCCCTGGTATTGTGACTCAGAAATTACATCATAAAATGGTCGACTGGAAAATTCTTGAAGAATTCTTATACTTACATATATTTTCATATATGTATATTTATATTATGTTATATATATATATATGTATTTCTCTTTCGAAATATATTATTATATATAAATAATAGTTATGCGCAAAGTCTTAACTGTTTAAAATTGACAATCAAGCCTGACAGCTGTCAAAATACCCTCTGTACTCTCGAAATCTCAAAATGACTGAGCACTTATTTAAATTCCAACTCCGTTATTTATGTGCGTATTTGATTTCTGTTTCTGTGTTTTGTTTGTGTACTTTTCAAAGCAATACAAACATATTTGTGGATAGGTTCAATCGTAGAGCTGAAAGTTTCATTAGAATTTAATTACACGAATGCCGGCGAAAGTGAGAGAAACCAATTGAAACAATTTAGTTGGGAAATACTCGTGACTGCAGCGCGTTCAACTGGAGCAATGAGTGAGCTGTTTAAGCAAATAAACCAAATTCAATGAAATAAAATAATAAGCAAACATACAAACAACAACAAACATGTATAGCGATAGCAGTAGTTTATACACTCTTTAATTGACCAAATAAATTGTGAGCGCAATGAATGTCGGAAGCGTGAAATGGAGATTACGGGAGCTAAAGTGATAAGAGTAATCGAATTGCACTGTTGAATCAATCGCTCAAATTAATTAGATTCTACTTTTAATTATTTATTTATTTAAATTTATTTTTTTGAAGAGAAGATAGCAAGATAATAGTAGTTGTGTGCGATTGCTAGATTTCTTCGAAATAAATTGATTAAACTTGATTAAGTAGATTGAAGCAATTCAATAACATTTATATAGTGACGGTGAGTTACTTTACGAGCAATCTAATAAAGGGCGTTTTTCTTGTCAATTGGTTTTCTAAAGGAAATAAAATACATGCATTATAAACATAAATGTTTGTCATTATGTTTTAAAAATGATTTTGGGTAAATGACCGCCACAGCTGGCTCAAATAAAATCCGGCCGAGAAGCCCAATTTTCGACCACTTTTTGTAGCAATTGGCACCGTATGTCAGCAATAACGCTCCGAATATTCTATTCTAAGTTGGTATGCAAGCTGAGCTTTGAGCTGTAATCAATTTATAGTAGAATGTACGAAGTATATAAATCGTTTCTCTCATTTCGATTTGAAACGAGCTCGCAGATACTTCGAAGATCGCACAGTCCATTATCATTCAATATTTTAACTTTACACTGTAAGTGTTTTGTAATATGCTTCGGTTGGTTTCTTATCATCTCTGTAAAGTGGAAGCTCGCTCATCTCATTTTAATTAACGCGAAATATTAACAAGACCACAGCTGATATTATTATCACAGTTTGTTTTCAATACCAGAATCACGTAGAAGTGTTAACGCTGTAATTTTCATTTAATATATTTGTGAATGAACATCATGTTTTCAACTAAATATATGTCACTGACTAATTCCATTTACTGGCTGGCATTATTCAATTGTTTAATGAATATAAGTTTGAGCATCTCTACGTCGGTCAACGGTAAAATTATCGAAATCGAATTTAATGATCAACAACAGCGTAAGATTACCGTTGCGGGGATGTCTAATAAAAGTTGGACCGGTGAGGAGTATTATGCATTTCGTGGTATACCGTACGTGAAGCCGCCAATTCAAGAGCTAAGGTTCAAGGTAAGAGTTTTGATACGGTATGAGAATACATAGAGGGAGGCAGAAAAATTAGTAAAGATAGAAATAGAGCGAAATTCGATACTCGGAGTTACTTAGGATCTTGTGTAGCACTTCTCCTGTGCTATCCAAACAAGGTAAAGTGAACATTCGCTCATAACATACACATTTTAATAGTTAAGAGTTTACTTTAAGCTCTGCTTTGACAGTTATTCTGCTAGAATATTTTATACATCCAAAATAAAAAACAAAAATTCTACCTAACGCTAGTAACATAATTAATCACTCTAAATTAATTCTAGGATCCACAACCACTTGATGAATTACCCAGCTACATCGATGCACGTTACGATGGACACGATTGTCCGTCTATTTACGCCACAAATGCCTCAGAGCATTGCCTCATACTCAATATTTATACGCCAACCGTAAGTTTCATTCACGCAGTTCCTAAGTTCAACTTAATAAATTTCATCTTGCAGAACATTGAAACCGCTAAATTGCCAGTACTTGTTTTCATACATCCCGGTGGTCTGTATATTGGCTCATCACTGAGTACATTTATCAATCCCGTTTATTTACTTGCCAAACCCATTGTGTTGGTAACATTCAATTATCGTTTGGGTACGCTCGGTTTCCTGCAACTTGGCACCCGTGAAATACCTGGCAATGCCGGATTCAAGGATCAAGTGCACGCAATGCGTTGGGTACAGAAATATATCAGACATTTTGGTGGCAACCGTGAAGACGTCACTCTTATGGGTTATAGCGCTGGTGCTCTGAGTGTACATTTACATTTGGTGTCACGCATGTCGCGTGGACTTTTTCACAAAGCCATTGTAATGAGCGGCTCACTGCCACCGCAGACAGTGTTGCCACAGCATTCACAATTGGATTTGCTGCGTAAACAAGCGCGTGTACTTAATTGCACTGAAGTAGTGGCTGAAGTGCAGTTATTAAATTGTTTACAAAAATTTAACGGTAATGAAATCGCTGCTACACTACGTAGTCTTTTCGTCTTCGGCAAGGATAATCCGATTTACATATATTTACCGGTGGTTGAATATGATTTTGGGCAGGAGCGTTTTTTAACTGAAAATCCATTTGAAAGTCTAAAACGTGGTGAATTTTCGAAGGTACCTATACTAATAGGTTTTACCAGCGGTGAATTTTGTCAATCAGCGGTGGATATTTTCAAAGATTCGAAACTGGAACGACGGTTTTATGAAGATTTTCAAAAATTGGCGCCCGAAATATTTATGTACGCTGGTCATAATGGAAATTTGAGTGTGATTAACGAAAGATTGCAGCAGTATTATTTGCCAAATTTTAAGGAACTGGATCATACGAATTTGGCGCATTTGTGTGACTTCTTCTCGGATGCGATTATTCGCTTTGGTGTGCAACGTTTAACCGAATTAGCTGCTCCATATACTAAAGTATTTCCTTACAGCTTTGAATTTAGAAGCGAATTTAGCAATTTGGACTATCTTCTACGACCGGGTAAGTAGTATTTACATTTGCAAACCCGACTCTAACAAACAAAGAGGTTTTAAGTAGGTGAAGTATAGCAGTTGCTTTGAGAAGGAGACAATACTCTTCTCTTAAATCGTTAATAGTTATGAATCCGCTATCTGTACATATTATTGGAGTCAGAAACTTGTTAGAGTTTCAAAAAGTGCCATTCCAAAGTTACTCTGTACTATAACTTTAACTTAAGTTAAGTTTCTCTGAAAAGGTCTGAGCCAAACTGAGCGAAAGCAATATATGTCATTCCGTCCTCACCTTCACGTTCACCTCGCCACTTACGTATATTACTTTCTTCTTCTTGTTTTAGTCTCCAATATATTTACTAACATTTAATTTACATAATTTTAGCGCGTGTCGAACACATGGACGATTTAATGTATTTATTTGAAATGAATGCTAGCGGTTTTAAGCGGAACGATTCTAACACTGCATCTATGATTCGACAGTATACGAAATTCATATATGAATTTGTAATATCTGGGTGAGCTTTAGAATTATAGTGTGCTCTAACAGCACGAACTTTCACAAAATTAAAACACTTTTTTTCAATTTCTAGTTCATCACTGTTTGGCAAGCTCCCAACTTACCCTGCAGGATATACAAAAATATGCCGTTCATTGGAATTCCAGCCGGGCACTAATTTTGCAAAAGATATCTATGAAATGTGGAAAAGCTTGTTTCATTTAGTTTATAACAGTAAATGAAATGTTGAAAGGTTACCTGGTAACACCTTATCGTATTGAAAACTTATTATACCCAGAACAGGGTATATTAAGTTTGCCGCGAAGTTTGTAACACCTAGTAGGAAACATCAGAAACTATATAATAATATATATGTAAATGATCAGTATGACGAGCTGAGTCGACTTAGTCATGTCTGTCTGCTCGTCTCTCTGTATATATGCGAACTACTGAAACTTTGCATACGTCCATTTTTCTCCAAGAACGATATTGTCGGAATCGCCGATATCAGACCACTATAGCATATATCTGCCATAAAAACTGAACGATCGGAGCTGGTATGGAAAACTTTCTCATTTGATAATATATCTTCAAGAAATTGGGTACGAACTATTATTCAAGGCAACGGGTTAATATCCGAAGAAATTGTTTAGATCGGCCCGTTATACGTTATAGCATATACATAGCTGTCATACAAACTGATCGATCAAAATTTAGTCTTTGTATGGAAACTTTTATATACGTGAAGGTTATTATCGCTTCGGTGCAAATGAAGTTAACGTTTTTTGTTGTATTATACTCATTTTACTCATTCAAATTGAAGTCAGCAACGCACTTGCATAATTGAATTACCTCACTTTGCTCAGTCCACTGCCAGCGAAATGAACTCTGACGCTGGAGGTGGAGATTAAACCAATATATATGTATATGCTTTCATATGTATGTGCTACCTAACGGCTATTTAAAGCTGCCCCGTGCAAATGTATGTATGTATGGCTGTATTTACAGGTGTCTGCGTGCACTTCATTTAATTCTGAGTTGCTTAATTGAATTGAGCACTGTAGGAGATTAATTGAGCAAAACGATTGGGGATTTCAAGAGCTTTAAACGTTGAATTGTGTAACTGGCGAAAAGTGTATCGAAATAAATACATATATATATATATATATTTTTTTTTTTTTGATTCTATGATAATTTAATAAATAATTAGTAATATTGGGAGCAAATGCATTCTTATAATTTTCGTTATGGAAAAATTAAAAATTCCGCCTGAAGATTGATGAACCTATTTGTCAAATTTTTTAGGGTTCAACTTCCGTTTACTCATAATGTATGTTATGCTTCATACTCATTATATAGTCATAATAACTATGTAGCAAATTCATTACTTAGAAAAAATAATCCAAATTTGATCGAACTTCTTCTGCCTTTAGACATATGCCATAGTGTTTTACAAATAATGGCGAAAAGTTTCTGAAAATTGGCTAATATCAAAGGTATTTCTTTTGGCGGCTTATACTTGTAGGTTCGTATTAAATCTATAGCTAAATGTATGCCGATTGGAAAAACTGCATTTAGTTGAAATAAAAATTTTAAATAAATTATGCCAACCATCAGAATGAATTAATTTAGCCATTTTATTGTCACTTTTAATCTGTTAAATGTGAAAACTAATTTTTTTCACACTTGCACGCGGTTTCGCTTAACATTAGCGCAAAATTCATTTAAAATGCTCTCTCTGAGCGCGCAAAACGACCGCAAAATGAGCAGCTACGCAAAAGGCAGCCAAAAGGGGCAGTGAAAAAAAATATATATACATATACGAGGTGTATTTAAAAAATAACGAGAATATTGGTTTTGTGAAAAAAAAATATTATTCATTTGTCTACATTAATGTTGTCGCCTTCAAAATAGTCTCCATTCGATATTATGAACTCATGCCAGCGCTTCTTCCAATCGTCGTAACATTTCTCAAATTCGATTTCGGGTATAGCCTTTAGCTCTTTCAGCGATGCATTTTTAATGTCTTCTACTCGTATATAATATATAAGGTTGGGCCAAAAACAAAAACTTGTATTTTTTCTTAGATACCATGGAAATTTTGCACGAAATGTCGAAAAAAATTCTGTTAAATTTTTGCCTTAAAATAATCAAATTTTAAACGTTAATATTTTTTAAACGGTTAGGTTTACGAAAAATGGTAAGCGACCATTTTGTTTTCTCGTTTCATAGCTTGTGTAATAAATTGAATATACAAAAGCTATGAAACAAGACAGTTTTAAGTAGTTAAAAGCGTGTCATGAATTTTTATATTTGATAATAATAAAAAAATTGAAAACTGTAAGGCGGAGGACCTTCACGTTACAATTAAGATCTCACACATGGAGATACTTTCTTAGAGGCTATCAATCAATTTTTAGAGTACTACGCCAAAACAAAAATACTGTTTTTTTCACCCACCCTAATATCTATATATATATACATATATAGGTAGTAAGTTAGTAAGTAAATCCCTTTGCGCATAGCACATTGCATACATTTATTGCCAGCATGCAACAAAAGTCAACGACGCGAAATGCCATGCCATGCCAGTTCCGTTGCCCAAGCCAGTGCCATTGCCAATGCCCTTAGCTGTTGGCAATGGCTGAGGTAGTGGTTGCGGTTGTGATTGCGGTTGCAATAGCTGCGAGCACAGAGCTGCTGTTGAGAGAGTCAGCCAAAAGTGGCACAACCTGCTGCACAGCCCTTTCTGCCCACTGCCGCATTGCATTTGCTGTCGCGTGAAGTATATCCATTAAATAGCAAAAACAAAGTGAAGAAAAAATGTGTGGTTTGAAGCGCAAAGAGATGAATTCGTAAAATTCACGCAAAGCAAATACAAAATGCACGACTTGTATAAAGACTAGGTGTGTGTTTAAGTGTATAGGTGTGTAGCGGAAATACAGATGTTGCAATGCACACACACTGCTCTTCTCAGACATTTGTGTAAACATGCCTTTAGTGGCACTCACTTTTATTGTCGCAACGTCACAATGTGAACAGCAGGCGAATTATGAACAACAGCAAAAAAAAAGAAAAAAGCAGAAAAACAACAACAATAACAAGCATACAAAATGAAGAAGCAACCACAAAATAAATACAGCACTTAGTACAGTACATATGTTTTTACGCATACACACATGCATATGCATAAATACGCATGTACTTAATGGCCATAAAGACATTCGCACTCGGTTGGCTAAGCCTTATAGTCGGCCTTCTGGTGCGTCAGCGGGCATGCAAGTTCAACAATGAGTTCAAGGTGAACCCCTGTCTGTCTATCTGCCCAACAGTACACACACTAGCGTCCCGATAGTGTCTCATTTGTGCACACAACTTGCCATGCAAGTACATACATATGTACATCAGGCTGTCGCATCTTTCAAGAAATCTTCACTGTCCTTACTCAACCGTAGTTTTTACTTTTTCCGTTTATTTGTCTACTTTTGGTACTTTTCGCACGGTGTTCTTGTTCATTATTTGCAGATTTTCATTTGTGTATACTTTTGCAGGAGCACAGCGTAAACTTTCCCTACTTTACTCGAGGGATATGCACCGATTTTTGCTCTTTGACTTGTAAAACTTTGTTGTTGCTTTGAATAATTGCTCCCGTATTTTAAAGTTTTACGATGATTAACTTAAGAACTTTTTTTATAGAGCCCTGGTAGAGTTATGTAGAAATATTTGGTCTCATGTCTTACCTATAAGATCTTATACACACTCTCTCAAAAATCTCATTTAGTGTTTCAATCGTCCATAAAATGAAACATTTCTTTAATATATAATGAAAAGGAATAAATTCGGACCAATATCTAGAACTGGGGAAGCATACCAAAAGTTAAGTCAAGAGAGACTTCTACATTACAGCCTTCAAATTTCGCTCAAGTCATCACTGAATCTTCACATTTCGAAATATTGCAGACCTAGATCTATACAGTAGTAAAGTATTAACTATACTTTTTTTTAATCTTTGTGATCTAGATAGATCCCTACGCAAACTGGTGACGGATATTGAAAAGTAAAGCCAGAGAGCTTAATCCTCTATTTTTTTAAGCTCGATATTTTTTTCTCCAACAATCTAGCATATTATGAAGTCACGGAGAGCTGATATCTTACTCACAGTAGTCAAGAAGCACAGCATAAGCTTTGAAATGGGCTCTGGTGACTCTAACTATATTAAGGAAGGAATTAGCCACCCAACGTATTGCCCTTTGGGCCGTTTCTTAGAACATCGTGTAAATAATATGAGTCACACGTCTGCCGAAAGTATGCTAATCGAAAAAGCAGTCCGATTCCACTATGAGGTGAACACCTTTGATCTCAAATGATTGATCCGCTTAAATCGAAAAACTATAATTTAAAGCTTGTATTATAAATTTCACACAGAAGAAGCTAAAAACTGAAAAGATAACAAACAAAAACCATATCATAAGTCAGCAGCCGCTTTCTTCTATTGTTCTCCGAATATCTTCATTGCTGAACTTTTTTGAAATTAAAATGACGGCGAGCATACAACTCGGCGCTGATTTTTGATGTGAAGCAACCACAGCAAAACGTCGACAGCATACAAATTTTCTAACACTAACACGTTCATTTCGTAATCATTAAGCGTTGCAGCAACAAATCACAAAGAAAAGAGCAATCAGAAATCGTCTTGACATTGACATTGTAAATTACATAAATTATTGTCTTGTTGACACTGTTAGCGACATTTTAATGTCAAATGTGTGGCGTAATAACAATTAAATTAAAATGCGACCACTTTGAACCACAACAAAAAGAAAAAAAAACAAAAACAATATAAATAATTAAAAAAGAAAAAAAATCAGTTACAAGTAATTAGTATAACCCATGGTGTAACGTGAACTTAATTCTCTGGAGATTGTGACAGACAAAGCACGACTAGAAGGAATGCTTTTAATTTCGGCTTAAAAATTCTTACTTCCGAGGCTATAATACCCTGCACAGGTGCATTTTTATAGCTTGAAAGGGTGTAAAACAAAAATCCTTTTTTTTTTAGTTTGATCGGTCCATTTAGATAGCAGCTATATGCTATCGTGGTTCGCTCTAAACAATATGCTTGGAGATTGCAGTGATAGTTGAGATAATAATCTGTGCAAAATTTTGTGAATATACCTTTTTAAATAAAAAAGTTTCCGTACAAGGACTTGAGCTTAATCGATCAGTTTGTATGGCAGCTATATGATATGGTAGTGCGATCTAAACAAGTTTTTCGAAAATTTCAGTGATGCCGCGAATAATAACCTATTTCCTGAAGATAACTTGTCAAATAAAAATGTTTTTTCTACAAGGACTTGAGTTGGATCAGTTAATTTTATGATAGCTATATCCTATAGTTGTCCGATATCGGCGATTTCGACAAATTATTAGCTTCTTGGTGAAGTAAAGACTTGAGTTTCCGGTCGATATCTCAAAAACTGAGGAAATAATTGGCGTATGGCGTATAACATATACAGACGGACAGACTTATGGAGAAACGAACATAGCTAAGGCGACTCAGCTCGTCACGCCTTTATTTATTATTTGTACATACATACTTTAAAGGGTATCCGACGTTTCCGTTTGGGAACTATAAACATCGTGGCAAACTAAACTTAAACTGATCAGGGTATAAAAATCTTGTTGTATTTATTAACGACAAAAAAAAAATATATGTTTTGAATAAAGGGATACGAGATTAATTTTTACTTGAGTTCTAATGCAAAATTGTAAGTAAGATCTTACGAGCAAAAACGAGCGTGTTTAGCGAGCTTCCACTAAAGTCGACTAAACTTTTTTCTTACAAAATTTGAACTATGGACAAAACCTGAATTTATTAAAATATATTTCAGTCCAACAAAGTTCCAAATGAGTGAATTTCTATAAACAAACGTTTGTTAAGGAACATCTAAGTCGATTTTGTGCGCTGTACAGTTAAGCAAGCTTTTAAGCTTGCAAAATATAAAACTATTAGTTTTGAATAATATACCATTCTGTTGATTCTAACTTACATACAAAGCAAAAAAGCTTGAGTTGGGCGAATAAAAAATGTTTAGAAAATATTATTGATGAGCGCTTCATAAAACAAACAGTTTGATTCGAAGACCTCTTTAAAATTTCTTTTTGAGAAGAAATGTATAGTCTATGCCAAAATTTGTCGAGCAAAAAGTAGATTTTATTGGAAAAACTCAGAAAATTTCGTACGCATGAGTTGGTAAAGCTACACATGTGCATAAGTGTGGCAACTACACTGTAGGAATACAGCTTATTTTTATATATGCTATATTTTTATTGACGATTGAGGTCAATGCTTTGAAGCATTTTTAAAACTATATGTTTGTGTGAATTTGTTTCACTTCTTGTATATCAACAAGCGCAAATGAGCTATAGATTCCAAATCGCTTTAATGCACATCACGTTTTCAATTTAAAAGATATTATTGCCATTTGACACATGTCATGTGTGTGCTGCAGAATGGAAGGATATAAAGAATGAAATGAACGAAAAGAGAGAGCGAGAGAAAATATTCAATAAAAGTCTTGCACAAAAACTAAATTTTTTTTTTAATTGCAAGCGCAAATTCCTACAAACTTACTTATTGCGAAAAAGTCTCAAATTTTATCAAAAGGAAAAAAACGAAAAGAAGGAGTGACAGCGAAAAATATTGCCAATTGTAGCCATCAAAATGTGAACTTTTATTACCTCGGGGACAAATTAAAATTACCATATACAAATCTTAATTTCCATTATTTTATTATACACAATTTGCGCGTCTTATTTTGCATTTTTAAAGGGGCACTCATTTACGAATTTGTTTTCGTTACCTTTTATTGAAAATTTTACATTTTTGACATAGTTAACTTTTGTAATTTTTTTAAATTTTAATTGTAATTTATTTAAAATATTCTTTTGTTCTATGTTTTTATTTAATTTCACTTTGTAAAAAAAAAATTGTTATATGTAAAATATGATATTTTTAGGTTATGTGCATATCGGAAGCACTACTCAAACACTTTTTATGAAATCAATGCAAGTGTTTTACTCGAACTAGGAAATTAACTAAGTTTCATGTAAGTAGAATTAAACATATTAAGAAGTAAAATTTTGGTGATTTCCTTACTCTTACGCTTTCAATATATTAACGTTTCTTCTACCAACTACCACTTGCAAAAACTAGTAATTGACAGCAAAAATTTTGGTCAAATCCATCGAGGTGTTCTTGAGTTACTATATATACTAAAATTTCTTATACCAATTTCAAAAGTTAATAATAAACAGCAAAAATTTTATTCAAATCCATCAAGGGGTTCTTGAGTTAGTGTATGTTAAAAACACATGACAACTTTCACACATTTAATACGCTGAAACCATGCGTTTCTTCTGCGTTCCTTATAGCAATTACCAATTTCAAAAGTCCAAGTATACAAAACACACTGGCCTAACGTAAAAACTACCTGTAAGCTGGTAGCCGAATTTGAAAAAAAATTTCTACAGCATTCTATGTACGAATTATTTATTAAAATTATGAATATGTCAGCCTAAAAACCGCAATTTCGGATTAAAAAAAAAAAACTACTGTATCAAGTGTTTCAAAAACTTAAGAATATATTTTTAAAGATTTAAACAAAAAAACAATACAGTAAAATTTTTTTAACACAAATTAAATAGCTTGAGATATTTTGTCAAATAAAAAAGTTCTCTATTTATTCAAATAATTATAAAGTTGAACAATTTATTCAAATGCTATAGTATTGCCTTGGATAATTAGCCATGCCAAGTTTTGTGAAGATATAATGTCAAATAAAAAAGTTTTCTATACAAGAACTTGCCTTGGTTGTTCAGTTTGTACGGCGACAGTTTCGAAAAATTAGCAGCGTCTTGGAGAGACACGAATCTGTGCAAAATTTCAAAGCGATTTCTCAAAAACTGAGGGATTAGTTTACGTATATGCAAACGGACAGACGGATATGGCTAAATCAACTCAGCTCGTCCGCTGATCATTTATGTATATATATATTTCATAGGGTCTCCGACATTTCCTTCTGGGTGCTACGAACTTCGTGGAGAACCTAATATACCCTGTTCAGAGTATAAAATTCTCTAGTAGAAGATAAAAATTGACAAAATGGCGGGAATTTAAAAAAAGTTAAATTTATCGAAAATTTTGGTCATTTTTCGTTTTGAAACTGGTAGGCCATTATATAGAAAACTTTATACAGAACATGCAGAACATATTTTTTTAGTGATCAGAGCATTTGTAACATATACAAAAGCTAATTTAAAAAATGTAGTTTTAGGATGAACGGTTTTAAAGACTAACTGATGGAGCTGTTTGAACTGAAAGGATACACTTTAAAACGCTGTAACTTAAAAACTATTTCAGATATCGATTTAAAATTTTACCATAAAGTAAAAAATAAACACAAAAGAATTTAAGATTATAATTGAATGACCCTTTACAACCATTTATTTAAAATACTTGTCGACACCATCTAAACCGTTAAGTGGCCAGGAGGTGTTAACAATACATTGCTGTTACAATTGGAACATATTGCAACAATTGGTCACGCAATGATATTGAAAAAACGAAAACAAAAAAGAAGAAATCGAATAAATATTAAATATGCTAAGTGAGCAACAATTATACGAATTTAAGGTTGGATGAAAAAAATGCCAACAACAAAATAACTACGCATGCACGCAACTGCATGTCAACGAATTGAATGTGTCAGTGCCACGCTGCGCTATGTGCCAAGTGGTAAAGGTGTGGCAGCGTTGTTATGACGTGCCAATTCGGGCGTGTAGAGCAATGATGCTCCAGGGACACTGGATACAAGATGATGACGAAGTTACAAACAGACTAGAAATTGTTGTTTACACAAATGCATTGTTTTGATTAAATTACTAAGTGTCGATGCGTGTTGTTGACAGTTTATGTTGCGTACAAACAAAAGGCATGTTGTCATATATAATATAATTTGTTTTTTGATTTTCGATTTTCCAAGAAATGGACCGACAATAGGTATACCCAGCCAATGAAAATTTTATTTTCTTTTTTTTTGTCTAAAGTTATTAAATTGTTCAGTTAAACGTGCAACTTGAAACTAATACTATTATATTATCTTTAAAAAAATCACATGTCTAGTGTTTAGTTGCCTTTTGGTGTCACATATCCCACATATAATTCAATGGTTTTTCGCCTAATAAGCCGGGTGAGAAGTTTAGTTCATAAATTGAACGAAAAAAATAAATGATTGCCACAAATCACTTTTTGAAAAAGGTAACTATCTACATATATATTAGTTACTCGTAAGACAAACGGAAATGGAATGAAGCTGCTCTTACCAACGGCTTTAAATAATTTAAGCCTAGTTAAAATGGATAAAATCGAGAAGTTTTGATCACAAATAGCACACAGTTTGAGGAGGTCAATCGACAGCAAGCACGTTAATCTGGACTTTTCCTGCCTTCCTATTCTGCTACTGGCCTTTAATTATTTCATATTCTAACTATATACTTAGTGGATCGACCATCATTCGCATATTTCGTTAGCTTAAGCACATATTTCGGTTCCAAATTTTCGATATTAATATGTAGTTTGAGTCTAATATCTTTATTGACTTCTGTAGCTTTTACTGTTTCCTTATTTTTCTCTTCAAACTTTGTGCTATTTGTTCTCAAAGAGTCGCTTACAAATCCAAATGGGGGTCACTAAGGTAAAAGCACTATTATTTTAGACGTTTTTGATCTTTTTCAAGCTGACATGTAACTCATTCGTTACCATTGCTATGCAAAATTTCAGATCGATATCTCAAAAACTGAGGGACTAGTTCACGTATACACATACAGACAGACTGACGTGGGTAAATCGAGTCAGCTCGACACGCTGATCATTTATTTATACATATATTCTATAGGATCTCCGACCTTTCTTTTCATGACAAACTTAATATAACCTATTCAGGGTATAATGAGTTGGCAGAAGAGTTATGAGTTTAATACTTAATTTTTGAATTTATCTCCATTTATTTTATCTGATATTTTGCTATATAATGCATTGTAAACTTCTAAAGAATCGCAAAACCCACGCAAATTCTTTTGAAGATTCATAAAGTACGAATTCTAAGGTTGAATTGTTTGAAGTCGATACCGAAACCAGATGAATTCCTTTGTTGGCAAACAGAGACTGTAAAAATAAAATGATATAAAAATATAGAAGTAATTCCAAAATTATTTTACTTATAAAATATCAAGTTGCTGAAAACTTCATGTGACTTAATTTGACGCTCTCCTAACAGCTAGATGCTTGACCTGTTTTCATGCTTATTCGCGGTGAGCGCTTTCATAATATCCAACAAGAGATGAGACTCATTGTAGTATTGTGTCGACAAGCGACGGATAATGTATTTTTTATACAAATAAGCGGTCGGTTTCGAAAATATCTTTTTGGATTTTTTTTAGTATATTTTTTATTTTTATTTATTTTTTCGTACATAGTTACACCCTCAAGCATACTTTAATTTTGAAGTAAAATCGTAAAACTAATAATAGCTTAACTTCAAAAATTAGTATACAGTAATAAAAGTGCAGGCTTCAATATTAGCCGACACATAAAGCACGTTTAGTGCGACATTCATGACTCGGTAACATACAAACGCTGTCGATCGTCGCACGATATGCAGTAAATTGGCGTTTACGTGAAATATCAATAAACTTTAGGGAGGTGAACGCCTGAGACAATTACAAAAAAATTTTAACAAAAACAATACAAAATTAAAACAAAACAACAAAAATAATAAGAATCACAATAAAAATTAACGTGCCCCTCAGACGCCATATATGAACATCTGCAGGCATGTACATACATATCTCCAATATAAGTATGTACATATGCACGTTAATATGTTAACAAATAAAAAAGGTGTAAATGAGCTCAGCAAAAATTCATGAGAATGACTAAATTTTCGAAAATTCCTATATATACTCGTAATATTGGATTTTTGATTTTATCGTACAATTCAAATGCAAATTTTATACTTTTTTTTTACAAAAATCTTTGCTTTTGCTCGAAGTTGAAGGTGGGACTAAATTATTTGCAAAAAAATATTTAAGATATTCGATATTCTGTGTTACGAATTATTGTCTTAAGGAGCTTAGTGGCCCCTTACAAAGGCTGTATACAATGGTTTTTTATGAAAGTAATTTCTATAACAAAAAAAAAAAAAAACACACACATACGGTAGCCGTTGTTTGCTGGTTAAACGGCATGTAAAAATGTAAAAAATTATCGAAAAATTACTTTGTGATACATAATAAATAATTTATTTGTATGTGCTAAAACCGGAAAAAACGTTAACTTTTATTGCACCGAAGCGATGATATCCTTCACAAAAACTTGATTATGATAGATCAGTTTGTACGGTAGCTATATGATATAGTAGTGCGATCCGAACAATTTATTCGGAGATTATAACATTGAATTGTAGAGTAATACAGTTCGAATTTCGTGATGATATCCAAATAAAAAAGTTCACACACAAGCTCTTGATTCAGATCGTTCAGTTTGTATGGCAGCTATATACAATAATGGTCCGATATAGGCGGTTCACACAAATGAGCAGATTCTTGATGAGAAAAGGACGTGTGCAAAATTTCAGGTTCACGTTCGCCTATATACAGACTAATAGACAGCCGGATATGGTAAATCGACTTAGC